CTAACTGGTGTGAAGTGGTATCTCATTGCGGTTTTAATTTTTATTTCTCTGATGACTAGCGATGTGGCGCATCTTTTCATGTTTAAGAGTCGTTTCCTTTCCCTTCTCTGCAGTTGTCTTCCATTTGCACATTGGGTTTATTACCCTTTTCTCAGTGATTTGTAGGAGCTCTTTATATATGGTGGAAATTGGGCCTTTTCTGAGACATGAATCGCATCCATTTTCCCACAGCTTTTCATTTGTTTTTTGATTTTGTTTATGGTGCTTTTTGTCATGCACATATTTTTTATTTTTATGTGGTTTCAGTCCTTTCTGGGTTTTGTGCCCTAGTCAGGCCTTTTCCGCTCCAGAATTAGAGACGATTCTTCCATCGTTTCTTCCAATACCGTTATGTTTCATCATTTTATATTTATCATTGTATATGTTACAAAATAGGAACCGAACTTCTTTTTCGCCCCCGATGCCTGTTCAGATGTCCTAGCTCCAGTCGCTGAACAGCCCATATTTCCCCATCTGTTTGAAACCCACTGTCACCATAACGGAGAATTCCCGCGTGCATTTGCGTGTGTGTTTGGGCCGTGTCTCCCCCCCGTCCGGCCTGCCCTCAGGAGCGCCGCACTGTGGGAAGGGTCACGGATGCACGACCCCTGGTGCTGGCTGGTCTAGGATCTCCTCTCTATACTTCCTTCCTAATCTTCCTCACTGTTGTCATTGGTTTATGTTTTCCATATAATCTCTAGTTTCAGCTTGTCTAGTTTCTGCCATAGAGAAAAGTCCCCAAAACCCCACTGTTAGTTCTTAGGGCCCCTTACCCACCCTTTCCAACCCAGGAACACGCAGCAGCACCTTTGCTTGCCTTCCCTCCTGCGAAGCAGCAACTGCACTCGCCCTGTCCCCCGACACCCCCGGCACCTGGGCCCCACTCTGCGCTGGGGCCTGGGGAGCTGCTGCCCGGCAGGCCCCAGACTCGGGGCGCTGCGCCTGTGCCACCTGCCCGCGGGGTTTCCGGCGGCGCCCGTGGAGAACGCTTGTTCCTTCGTGCCCCTCGTCTCTGACAGAGGGAGTGTTTCCCCTGACGGAGCGTTTGCAGAGGGGTGAGGGAAGAGGAGCCGGGGTCCCCTCTGACCCAGCAGCGTTCTGGCAGCAAGGGTTTCACCTGAGTTCAGCCTTTGCTTCTCTGCCAGTAACAGCCAGTGCCCGTCAGATTCTTCAGCCTCCTCTCGTTTCCCCACAGATCTTGATGTATAATTTTTCATTTTCTTTCCCTTATGCTACTTCGTGATTCAACTCATGTTTTTATTTTTTTCTTTCACTTAGAGGGATTTTTTTTTTTAATTTCCAGAGTTATGGGACTTTTTTTTTCTTTTTTAGCTTTTAGTTAGTGGTTTCTACTTTTACATTCTGGCCAGAATAAATCGCCATGATTTCCCCAGCTGCAGCCCCGACGCACCCGCCTCAGCCCTTTGTGGCACAGGCTCAGTGCGGGGTGCGCGGGTGTCAGCCCGGGCCCGGCCCTCGGGCTGCTGGGCAGCGGGACACCTGTTTGTCTGACCCTGGCGGTGCTGCTTGGGTCCTGTCCGGTCCGTACCTCACTGACTTGTCTGCTTTTATTTTCTACCTCTCGGTATCCTCTCGTTTCCAGGGTGTCTTCAGCAGGACATGCTGCCGCCTCCCGCCCTCACTAGCCCCGGGCTGGAGGCCCGCGTGGGCCCCGCACACTCTCGCCGCTGTGAGCGTCCTGCGCTGGCGCTTTCCTCTGGCATCTCGTTCTGTGGTTTTTTCTAGCGTGCTTCTACGTTTTACGTTTTCCCTTGTCTTCTATTGGGTAGATCATTCTGCCTATTTTCAAGTTTCACTCCATTTTTGTTGTTTTGGTGGTTCCTGCTAAATTATTAAGACTCTGCTTATTTCGCTCATCCATCAACTTGTTAAACTTATCGACATCTGTGTTTTTCTGTATTTTCCTTGGTATCAATCAGAGCATTAGCTGTTGGAATGGGAGATGGTTGTCTTTCACGCACAAGTAAATTTGATGAAATTCCTTTTTATTTATCCTTGTTTGCCTTCCAGGTCTTTCAGGGTAACCTCTTGGATATATTTATCTTCTTCCAACATAATTTTAAAACAGAATAACTATATGGGAAGCTTATTAAGGCTTTGTATGTGAGAAACTATTTTATTTTGGGTCCTCACATTTAAATACACTTTAGTTAGGTATAAAATTCTAATCTTCCATTTTTCATAATTTATCAGGCTAAGTACCTTGATTGACACTTCCTCTGAAAACCCTAAAACTGCTGAATGAAATACTATATAGGTGCTCGTGAGACACCAATAAACAGCAAGAAGGTAAAGAGCTTCAAGCCAACGCAGAGCCAAGGAGGAGCCCTGGCAGGCCGGGCCCCAGTGCTGCTGTGACCCCAAGGGCTTTGCTAAACCGGGTGAGCTTGAAATTTGGTGTCATGACTACATGGGGTTTAGACAAGGTGGCGAAATCCAGGGTACGCCCAGGATGAGGGTGTGACGGGTGATGCCCCGTAAAGCTGGGACTCCAGAGAGCTGCCCCCCCACGTGCAGGTGAGCCAGAACCGCCCCACGCTCCCCCTCGGTGTGCGGTGGGGGACTGAGGACGCTGCCCCTGCACCGAGCGGTAGCTGGGGTGGGGTTACTTACGATCTGCTGCCGCAAGTCAGCCCTCATGGTTTAGTGCCAGTTAACACCCCAGAGAGGTCTGAGAGTTTGACCTTGGAGGGATTCTGAGTCAGACCAGGACTAGTCAAGAGCACGGTCAGGTCATTTCCGGGGGACCCTCCTTCGTTGCGCCATCAAGTGTTCTCACCGGCCAGACTCTAGCTCACAAGGGGATCTTGCACTCATGGAGCAAGTCACCGGGGATGAGGCCAGCACAAGGCCTGGAAAATAAATTACTGTGTTTCATATGTTTAACAAAATAAAGTGCCAGCAGGAAAGTACACCAAAGAAACAAGGAACTAGAAAGACTGAGCTGATTTAAAGAGAAACTAAACAGAACTTCAAGAAATGAAGAATGTAATGAATGAAATTAACTCAGTTCATGGGTTTAATAGCAGGTTATGTACTGCAGAATTAGTGGAATGGATGTTATATATGAAGAAGAAGGAGGGGGAAGGAAGACACTGGCGAAGAGCCCTAGAAGGCAGGGTCAGAAGGTGCAGCCACACTCATCAGGGCTTCAGGAGCGAGAGCGGGGTGGGGGCGGCTCTCCGACGGGGTGCTGAGCTCCCAAGGCCCCGATTTCCCATCTCAGGGAGCTTCACGGATCCCAGTCTGAAATAACTGGAAAGAAATCCACCAGTGCATGTGGGGTGGTAAAACTCAGGAGCCCCAGAGGCGGTGAGCTTGTTCTGAAAGTGTCAGAGCCGACCGGCTCCCTTCAGCGGTACCAGCTTGCCGGAGGCTATCTTGTCGCAGGAGCTGTGGGACTGGGGACCGTGAGATGTACCTGTGTGTGCTGAAAGGAGATGGCTGTCAACCCAGAGACCCTGCCAGGACGTTACCTGTCACTGCTGAGGGCAAAACACAGGCTTTGCGGGCAATAAAAACAGCTTTGCCGCCACCTGCCCCTCAGTTTAGGGGCTGGCAGACCTTTCTGTAAAAGGCTGAATGGGCAGCAGTTTTGGCTTTGCAGCTGTGTGGTCTCATTTGCAGCTACCCATCTCTGCCATTGTAGCACAAAGTGGCCAGACAGTGTGTACGTGAGGGGCATGGCTGTGTGCCAATAAAACTTTATTTACGAAAGCAAGTGGTACTATGTTGTTTCTTGAGCTGAGTACACCAGTGCATTTTATTCCTTACATTATTTCTATTTTTATTATTCTTCATACTATTATTCTGTAAACTACACATGTATATGTGCTTAAGCATTTTGGACATCTTTTATAATGGGAAGTTTACAGAGGGAAAGGGTGGTCAGCCAGGTGAAGGGCTGCAGGAGGGCAGGTGAGGCCAGGGCCAAAAAGTGGCCCATTGTTTGCCAGGGGAAGGTCGCCGTGGTCTTAAGGGCCGTCTCGAAGGAGCGGTGGGGTCGTCCTGACAGCCTTCCCAGCAGAAGAGGCACTGTTGGAGGCTGGCACAGGGTCACCCCTTGTTTTTATGCAGGTGGGAGTCGGTGAGAGATGAGGGCCCAGCGGGCAAACAGGTGGCCCGAAGAGAAGTGCCGGGGGCCATTCGGGGCTGGCAGGACAGGCGCAGGGAGGCTGGCAGGGAACCAGGCTGTGTGCTCACCTGACTTGCACACTAATAGGTGAGCCTGCCGCACTCCATGGCACTGGGTCAGAGAGAAAGGACTGTGTCACCCATGTCGCAGCAGGGGGCTGCGGGAGCTCCCAGCCCCCTGACCCACAGGAAAAGGCGAAGCAGGGCCTGTGTCTGAGCTGAGGACCCTGCTCTGGGGGATGCAGATCTTTCCCAGGGGGCTGCAGACACGTTTGCTCCTTGTCCCCGAGGGAGATGTGATCTCAGCCGTGGGAGGCTGCCAGCTGTGCAGGTGGGAGTCTAAGACAGCAGCTGTCAGTCTGACAGCAGAAGAGCAAGTGACCCAGGGAGAACCGTCCAACAACAGGTCTGTGTTGGGAATACAGGTTCCTGTTAGATTCCCTGCAGTCCCTCCTTTTAAGTACACAAAGCCATGGCTCAGAGAGGGGAGGAAGGGCTGAGAGGCTTGCAGCCTGAGCTGCGAAAGTTGTTTGACCAGTGAGGAAGCAGGCGGGCAGGGAGGGGCGCGGGGGTTACCAGGCAGCGCAGTGCCGGAGGCTGTAGGGCAGCAGGGGCCACCCCAGGTGGGGAGGGGCCCGGCGCAGCGGGGAAGCCCCTGACCTGCCCAGAGGACAGAGGGTGGAGGGTCTTTATCAGTGTTGGTGCTTTTGGCTACAAGTCACAGGACAGCCTGGGGACAGAGACAAGAACCAGCTCTTCAGCCTTTATCTCATGATGGCACCCACAGAGAATTCCATGCACTCACTGGAATGAAGAGGAGAGGGCTGGGGCAGGCGGCACCCTGACCACAGCCCTGATACGCAATGGGCCCGGCACAGCAGGGGACACATGGACCAAAAATAGGGGTCCAGAGGTAAATGTTCCTCTGGCACCCTCTGGCCTCCGGATAGTTTGAGGAGGGCTGCGCAGCTCCGGGCTTCACGTGGGAGGCCACAGGGAGGTGCGCTCCACCCCTGGGCTTTGCATCTTTGCAGGGGAAAGGGGAATGTTTCCCCAGGGTCCCTACCGACCCCTCTTCCCCCTGACTGGCTGCTGGGTCACGTGGCCTCCCCTTGATTGCTCACCAGGAAGCTGTCCTAGACCTGAGAACTGCTGCCTGGAGCCGAGCCGGGGCACCCCTCAGCAAGAAAGCTGGGGGGCTGTGGAGTGGGGCTGCACCCCAGCCCGTGCCCAGCAGGGTCTGTGCTGGGGCCTAGAGGGGCTGCGACTGTTTCTGAGCATCACTTTGCAATAAAAAAGTAAGAAAGTTACATTTCAGCTTAGGGTTTGGTACATCCTGTGAAAGATTCAGTCAGCAGGGAAAGCCTGAAATGAATGCAGTTTAGTTGTTTTAATTATCTACAGTTTCCCTATCCTGTCAACCTCACAGTTATTTTACCCCAGAAAGGCGTTCATTCAGGAACTGCAGGGAACTGCCATTCGGGACCGGCAGCTACTGCAAAACCAGGGGCAGGGCCCGCAGCCCGGGGGGAGGCCCTTCGCTTCACGGGGGCGGTCGGCAGGGGCAGCGAGGCCACGGGCGCCTCACCGGGCGGGTTGCGGGGGGTGCGTGTCTTGCGGGAGATGCCCGGGCGTCCGTCGGGGGGCCGACTGTGTGTCCTCCTGATGCTTCTGTTGATCTGTGACTGACAGCCTCCCCACTCCACTTCGGTGGGGTTTTCTTTTATTAATCTTCACTTTCCCCTTTTGTTCAAGATCTTTTCTCAAAGGCCTTGCTGATCAAGAGTCGGGTTGTCTTACTTCAGTGGCCTTTTGTCCCTCCTGCCAGGAAGGCCCTCTCCCGGGTGTCGTGGGCACACCCGAGGGGCGTCTGTCTAGGAGGGGCAGGGGCGCACGGGCACTTCCCGTCCAGGGGCCCCCTCGTCAGGGCCGTGAGCACTGCGTGTCATCTCCCAGTGAGACACACCAGTTCACACAGTGTGGCAGGCACTGCACACAGAATCAAAAGTGACATGACAATTCCAAACTTATGACGGTTTTAAAGCAGGACGCTGGTCAGCAAATACTTTTTAGCACTCATTCTGACTTAGGGGAGAAAGGTTCTCCCTGAGGAGTCCAGCCCTGCTTCAAGCGGCCGTAAAAGCAGAATAGCGAACGTGTAAGAAAGCACTGCATCCGGGGAGATACGGTGCCGGCACGGGCACGACGCACCGATGCCGAGCCGTTTGCAGGAACAGCAGAACTTCAAAGATGTAATAAAGCCGGATTTTTGTCTCAAAAGAACTGTTCAGAACCAAATGAGTTAGTAACACAGGCTGTAAACTGTATATTCAGAGACCACAAATCTGGGTAAGAATCCGGAGTCAGTTACTAAGCCAGATGAAAACGATCATGTGAATGTTGAGCCTGCTGACAGCCTGGCCCAGAAGTCTGGGGAGCTGCCTTATGCACGTCATCTGCTCCAGTTCTGGGAAACCTTTGCTTTCGGGTCAGCAGATGGAGTGCAGCCCAGTGAGGGTCTGGTGCTTTCTGCAGACGCCACAAGGCTCCGAGGGTCTGCTCCCTGAAGCCTGGAGGCGAAAGGGGTGGTCAGCGGTCCCTGTGAGGGCCTTTCCAGCAAGGCTGAAGAGTCGCTCTGGAGGTGGCTCTTCCAATAGAAGGAATCTCCAGGTCGCTGTGATGCTCAAGGTCTCCTAGGAGGAGCAGTTATTTTCAGTGGAAGCCACTAGGCCTTCCCAATACTGATGTAGCTCCCTCATCAGCCGTGGGCCAGAGGAGGTGGGGGCCACGGGCACCGGATGTCCTGTGACTGTCTACAAGGGTGAGTTTGAGAAGTAGAAGGACCATCAGCCGTGCCTGAGGTCACAGTATTTGGAGGCTCTGTGGATTTTGCCAGTTGAGTGTCGATAAAGCTGTGAGTGCATGACACTGGCCCCCTGGTTTGCGGATGGCATGCACGAGCCGTTGGAAAACCGGCCAGGCAGCTCAGACCAGTTCCAATTGCCCTTAGTCAAAAGGGCTTCCCCAGGTAGGGAAAATCTTTCTAACAGAATTTCAGCCACAGAAGGAGCACTGCCCTGTGTGAGGAAACATACAAACAAGAACTAAAATGCATTCATCTCCATGAAACGGGGGAGCTGTAAGAAATCCGTTTGCGAAATCTCAGACGGCCCAGTGGGCAACTTAAAGTGTCTGGGGCAGTGCGGACAGGGTTCCCGGACTGTCTGCGGGCAGGCGGGGCAGGCGGGGCAGACGAGGCAGGCGCTTTTTGCGGCCTTACTCAAATGTCTGTCCGCATCAACACTGGCTTATGAACATATCAGTGGACCGATGGTTCAGTGCATGTACGAAGGTGAGTAGGGGAATTTTAGAACTTCTGGTAGGGCTGGACAGTTATTTGGTCCAGGGTTCTCTCTGTTAAACCAACAATTACTAGATTCCAATATTTTTCCTTTTCTGGGGCCAATTGTTTGTTGCCGCCATCCTCAGCCACTGGGTTTTCTCACAGGTAAACTAGGGCCTCCCAGGGACTAGTGTGGGGTGAGGCCCAGAGCCTGTAATCCTCTATTCCAGGCTTGATGCCTTGAAGGGCTTCTTTATTTATGGGGCACTGATTCATTCTGGGGAGAGGTTTCGAGAATCCATTTGAATCTTGATGGGAGGTGCCCTGTGGCTTCTGCCACTGTCACGTGAAGATTCTGCCTGTAAGGAAGATGGCAGCTGGCTCAGCAGAAGAAAATGATGTGTCCCCAGACTCAGCCAGTGCCGTCAGAGACAGAGCCGACAGAAGACGTCCGAGGGTCATTTAATCCCCGTGGCTGGCTACTCGGGTTACTAATGTTCCCTCTAGATTCCCCCTTACGAGAAAAAGAAATTCTGGCATCACACTTTTCTAAGAAGTCTCAACCCAGTAAGTGAACAGGGGCAGAGAAACTACGGAGGAAGGGCGTGTATCCCTCAGGGGCCCAAACCAAGGGCGACAGGTTCAGAGACGGGAGTCCCACGGTCTGTCGGAGACCCCGCTGTGTGGACCGTTCTACCTCTAAAGCAGGGGCTGCTTCATGGCGGTGGCACTAAGCACAGAAGATGTGTGAAAAAGGACAGAGAAATTCAGCCCCAATCTGGAGAGTGTTTTCTCTGGGCGGGCTAAGGACCAGGACTGGGAGGAGCCCATCCCTGGGGGTCAGGGGGACACGGGAAGGGCCAGCCAGAGGGCTCAGGGCGCCTGAGGTGCTGGCATTTGTAACAACCTTTTTTCCAGTGTCCAGCCTCTTTGCAATACTAGCAAAACTAGGAGCCCCCTGGATTTGTTTAGGGGCCATCGTTTGCTGCAGTTGAAGGCTGAGACCTTTGGCATTCTTTCCCCTGGGTGACTCACTGAGGGTGCACACCAGCTGGTTTGCCACACGGCTAAATGGAGCCGGCGCTTCCCGTTCCACTCTGGCCCTTTAAACTCAGAGAAGCCCCCGTTCAGACGCCCCCCCTCCTCTTCCTTGGACCCCCCCCGTTCCCCCCTCTCCTGGATCCAAGACCTGTCCTTAAAGTTAACTCTTCTGAGGAGCCAAATAAACCCCTGATTTCTTGAATTGTAAGGCACGTCAGAGTTTCTTAGCATAACTTTCATTTAAAATAGGCGTCCCATTCAGTTTTGGCGGTTTTAGGGCCATGGCTGTCCCATTCAGTTTTGAGAACATGGAGTTTGGGGAGATCAGAATCCCCCATAACTGCCGGCCGTGTTCTGAATTCCTCCTGGCTAAGCCGGTCCCTGTAGTCAGAGGGGCATATGGGAAGGGACTACAGTCGTTAGACATAAAACCAGCTGGGGCTCCAGAAGTGGGGGCATCCTCAAAGCATCTTGATAACTGGGATCCCATTTCTTAGAGGTTTTTCTCTAGAGGAAAAAAAGTCCTAAAGAGCACAGTTCCGGCAGAATCCAGCCGGTTCCAAAACGAATCAGACCAAAGGCCAGTACAGATCTAACAGGAAAAGGCCGGCTCCAAACAGGAGTCGACCAAAGGCCAAAAGAGCACCCCCAAAAGGACAGAGCCTCAAAACAGATCCTAAGTATCGCCTGGAGAGCTCACCACACAGAGGAGCAGAGCTCAAGACCTAGGAGGGGCTCCCCCCCCAAACTCCAGGGCTGGCGAGAGAGCCCCGAGCTCAGTGGGCCCAGTGCCTGCCTGGGGGCTCACCAGCCCTAGAGCGCTGGGGGGGTGGGGGGTCTTCTCTGGATGCCAGTCCTGACACCAAGTGAACATCAACCTAAAAAGACAGAAAGGGGTTTGTTTGGGAACTGCAGGGGACTGCCATTTGGGACCGGCAGCTACAGCAAACCAGAGGCAGGGCCCGCGCACCAGCGGGAGGACCCTCATTTTACCGGGTAGGAGCTGGCAGGGGCGGCTCTGCACACAGGCCCGCTGGAGCCCTGGCCGACGGCACCTCACTGGCTGGTCGCAGGAGGTGGATGTCTTGTAGGAGATGCCCGGGCATCCGTGGCCTGGGGGGCCTGTGACTGACGGCTCCCCCTGCTGGCCTCCCCCTGCCCCCGGGGGGTTTCCAGGGTGGACTCTCACAAGGCCCCCTGGTAGCTGGGACGCCGGAGCAGGGATGACGGAGGCATCTGTGCGCCACTTCTACGCTGGGTAAGAGCCCTTCAGAATCCTTACTGGCAGCTTGAGGGTGGCACGCAGGAAGATGAGGACCTGGTGAGCCGGGCCGTGCGACCCTACGAATGTCAGTGTTCACTGTGAATGCGCGTGGGCTCAGGGCCCAGGGCCCAGACCGAGCCCGGGAGCCGCTTGCTAGGAATCGGGATGGCTCGTCCTACTCCCTTCATACTCTCAGCGGGTGTGAGCAGCAGGCTGGAGCCCCAGCCGCCAGGAGCAGAGCTAAAAGTAAAACTCATCTGCAATTAGCAGTATGAAGAACCTCACTGATAACGTATTTCTCAAGAAGCTACCAGGTTCCTGTGCTGAAGGCCGCGCTCCTCTGGGTCTCACGGTGGGACCAGAGGCGCCCCCCACCCGCCCCTGCCCCACTGACGAGCCGGCGGCCTTCCATCCCCCACCCTGCTGCTCCCTTCCAGGCCCCAGCCTTGGGGTCACGCATCTCCGGGACCCACTGCCCGGGGTGCGGCCCCTCCACACCCAGCCCCCCCCCCACGTGAGCTCTCGCAGACAGTCCTGCGGTGGCCGCCCGTGGCCCCGCCTGCCCGGCCGCCCCGAGGGCCATCGTCTCCTGCTCACCCGCCCAGCTTGCTGCTCCCTCATTCCTCTGCGTCCTGCCCGGTTGGCCGGAGATTGGGGGGCGTGGGCCTTGCTCCCTGACCCCTGGCCAGCACTGGCGGGCACACGATCGGGCTCAGTCAAGGTGTGTGGGGAGCTGACGGGGGAAGGAGCCTGAGAGGTGAGTCCGCAGCCTAGGGATCCGGTGTGTCCAGAGAAGTGTGTGATGGGGAAGAGACCAAGCACTGCTGATTCGAAAATATAGACCCCGGACGAAGCAGCTTTCTCCAAAGCGAAGTAACCACGTAGGGTGATTCTAATAAAAATATCAACAGTTTCTCTTGAAGCTAAATAAGTGGATTTTCAAGTCCTGGGGCAACGAACAGAATTCATGGGGAAGAGGTAATAGCAGGACTCGGCCTTCTAGACGTCAGCGCACATCCTTAAGCGATGCCAAGCCTGCCTAGGAGGGCCCCCCCCCAGCAGAGCCCCCCGGAGGCAGCGGTCAGCTCCGATCTTAACTCCGTCCCCTCCTGCACACGGAAATGCATCCCAGGAAGAGTTAAATGGCTTAAAATCAACCCTAAAATACACAGAATCAGAGCTGAATATTACAGAGAACTAGATTAACCACAGTAGTGATTGAAGAGTCACAAACTTCCAAGATAATTATTTTTTAACCTCAAAAATAACCCAATTGGAAAAATATTCTTAGGTCAGTCATATGTAAAAAACTCATCCAAGCTGACCGGACCCGCAGCCAGGACCAGCTGCTCAGCCAAGGCTGTGCTTGAAAAAACACAGGTGTCTGACCTGCGTGCAAGGCAGCCGCCGCACGGAAAGCCTGAGTAGCCCCGAGGGCACGGCCCAAGCTGGGCTTCTCGGGGGTTACTGGTGTGTCTGCGCGGGGGGGCTGCTGGGGTCAGCACCTCCTGTGCCCAGGCCACGTGTGCATGCCGCTCACCACGCCAAGGTGTGGGATGCCCTCCGGAGCAGCTCCCGCCTGGTCTGGCTGGGTGACAGGCCTTGGGGTTGGGAAGTGAAGGAAAAAGAGCGCCAAGTTCTGGGTGAAAAGGTGATGCCTTCCTCCCAGGGCCTGTCCCCGTCCCCCAGGTCGCAGCTGTCCCACCCCCTGCCCCTCTCCAAGCCCGCCCTACACCCTGTCTGCCGCAGATCTCTAAGTGTGCGAGCGCTGCTGGTGAGCGCATCTGCTTGTAGTTTTGGGCTCCTGAGACAGCTGTGGTGGATGTCCTAGCATATATGGGGTGCTCCTGGGAGTCTGTTGTCAGACGGGCATCTGGAAGCGTGGTCTCTGGGCCAAAGGTGCGCGCATTCGCATTCCCCCTCCAGACAGTTGGCTGTCGCGCTCATGGCTGCAGGGGATAGGAGCATCTTTCCTCCAATACTAGGGCGTTTTTACCGAGCATTTTCTTCTTTGGTCTATCTGATAGATGAAAAATGGTATTTCATTATTGGTTTTAATTTTCAGTTTTTAAGTTACAGGCTAGGTTGGCCTCTTTATATATCGTTTGTGTGTTGTTTTTAAAGTGACCGTAAAAGCTGACAGCATGAGAACATGCATGTTCACTGTGAGGTTTAAAAGTCAGAACACAGAAGGTAGGAAAGTGTGCTCCAGAGGCCCTACGGCATGGAGGGTGGGGGGGGGCTGGACACCGACTTTTACAAATAAACACCGTCCTACTGGGGATTTTAAAGAGGGCAGGTGTTCGTTTAGTGCCTCCTAAGTGCCAGGCACTGTTTTTGGGGCTGTGGCTTTGCTGAAGTGTTTAATCCCCATGATGAACAGATGCCATGACACTGCTGGGGTCCCCTTGTCCAGTGAGGACACCAGGGCCCAGGGCGCTGAGCAACAGCCAGAGGTCCTGAGGGGCCGGCGGCAGGTCCCAAGGAAAGAAGCCAGGTGACACCCAGAGTGGCCGTGCCCCCACCCTGCATGCTGAGCTGTGGGAGGCCCCCTCAGTGCACCCTGTTTTCTTCTGAGTGGAGCCTTCCCCCCACCCTTTCTCAGTCTGAGGATTTGGGGATGGGGGTGCTGAGGAGGGGGAGGGAGGCATCTTGAAGGGGTACAGCCTTAGCGGTGGTTTTCTCTTTGAATTTTTGTTCTTTTGAAAATTACATAGTTTTTCCCGGAATTAAAAACTTTTCCTTTAAAAAGGGTTGTTTCTAAAATGTTAAAATGAAGGATGCATACTCCTCCTAATGAGCTGCCAATCCTAAGTGACTGTTAAATGCTGTGTGGTGAGAGCATTTCTGCAGATTTCCCTACGGAAGTACTCAAATTAGAAAACCGCCTTGCCAGGCTCTCCTTAGCTATTAACAATCCAGAAAAAAACAAAACAACTGCCTTTTGCTCGGAGCTAATGTTTCCAAGCCTCTGAGCCAGTGCACACCCGGCTCAGCCACTGTGGCCGGACCACCTCCCTCTGCCCGCCACCATGTTCTCTTCCCCAGCAGCTCCCAGAGGCTGGGCCTCTTGTTCAGATGAACAGACCCAGGCCCAGAGACGCTAGGTTGCTCGCCCAGGGTCACACAGCGCCTAGTCAGTGGATCAGGATCAGAAGCCCTGCTGCCTGACGCCAAGCCCTGAGCCTGCTGCCTGGCTGAGAAGGGCTGCAGGTGCAGTGCCGGCAGGCGGCAGGCGGCAGAAGGCCCAGGCGGGCATGCTGGGGCGGGGCTGGCGGCCAGACTGTGCTTGTGAGCAGGTGGTGGAGACCTGGTGGGCTGGGTCTGTCAGGGGGGCAGTGCATGGCACTGCCCCCCGTCGCCTCTCCCTGGCAGATGGCCCAGGGAACCAGATCTCCTGCTTTTCAAGAGAAGTGGGAAATCACATTTTTTATATGGAATTTTCACCTTTTGAATACTGGCAACTAATTAAAAAATCAAAACAAAGCATAGACCAAATTACAGCTCAGTTTGCGAGCCACAGACTCCTGCAAGCCAGACCCAGCCGTGCCTGGTGGCACTGGCCCCTCTGCTGTGAACTGTGTTTATGACTTTACATGGTTGACCAAAAATGCAACAGTGACCTGGAGCAGCCGGTGGGCTCCCAGGGCACAGTGCCTGGTGAAGCACCGTCCCAGACTGGGAACCCAGTGGCCTCTACATAGACTGAGGCTCTCTTTGCTCTGAGAGTCACAGGATGCCCACATGTGATCACGCTGCCAGGCAAACGCACCAGCTCTTCCCAGCTTCCCCACATATTCTGCAGGCTATCGCCAGCCTGTGAGTAGGGCTGACGGGGGCCTCCGGGACACAGCTGCCTCCTTCCTGTATCCTGTCTTTGTGGGCAGGGACTGCTCTGTGCCTTCCCTGGAAGGATGCCTGGACCCAGGGGCAGTACTTAGGACTGTTCTCTGAAGTCAGGTTGCGGCTCAGCCATGGCTGCAGGCTCAACTGTGGTCTGAGGACATGAAAACATACCCTGAACACGGGACCTTGTCCACATGCCCTGGAGACCAGGAATATCACCATCTGAACTCCTCACGGCTGCTTTTGTGTCTCTTTGGAAGCCCAGGGGTCAAGCACAGGAGAGCAGGTCTTGGCGCCCAGCTGTGTGCTTGAGTGATGGCCAGAAGGAGCAGCTGCCGGGGTGCAGCTCTGAGATGAGAAAGAAAAGGTGAGCCTCACAGGAGGGCCCCGGGCTGCTCGCGGCTCCACTGTCACCACGCCTGTGACGCTGTGCCCTTTTCTTCCCATCCGTGCTGCTCATACCTGTGCAGTACACAAAACTGCCCCTGGGCCTGAGAATCTGTCCCAGAAGGGGAACATGGGGCTCCTGGTGGCCACGGTGAGATGGGCAGTCAGAGAGAACCTTGCGAGACAACTCAGAGACTGGCAGCCTGATGCACAGGGACAGAGGCCAACCTGAGCCTGGGGAGGACTGACCTCTGCACCAGAGGCACGCGGTGGTTCAAGCCCCAGGCAGGGCCCGTTGGCTGGGCTCCAGAAACCTGAGCTCGCAGCACGAGCAGGTGCCTCCCACCGTGAGGCTTGATGCACATTGTCACCGCCACAGCTGGGGCAAGCCCGCGTGGTGGAGGTGATGGACTCCACCTGGCGCATGACGGGACGCTTACTGCGCACTGTGGCTGCTCTCGGGACGGCGCGGCGTGAGAGCCGGAGGACACCCAGAAACCGCCGTGAGGTGGGTGTGCGCCTCCCCGCAGCGCCCTCCGGGGACTGTCAGCTGAGGACACCCCAGAGCCGGCGCTCAGGCCGGAAGAGGAAGCGGTGCCACCTGAGCAGGGGGAGCGTCTCAGCTTCCTGCCTCCACTGGTGGCTGCGGCCTGAGATGTTTGGAGAGGGACAGGGCGCACTTTCAGCTTTTTGAGAGGCAGGTGGTCACATAGATCCTCGTTAGCGCTTTTCTTGAAGTTGTTTTGATAAAACAGTTACTGCCACTTAGGAAAAAAAAATCGTGTCGAAATAACTTTTAAAACAAAGTACACACTTAACTAACCGAATCAGCTCCCTCTTCAGGAGTGGTTATTCTGGGGCCGCAGCATGGCCAGCATGCACGGCTGTGTGTGGCTGGGCTTTAGCATCCTCTCATAGACACTAGGAAACCGGACAAAACATGAAACCGCTCTTGAGACATTGGACAACAGCGCAGGACTGCAGTACTTGAAAGAGGGGAAAACAAATGAGCTGGGCTCCAGGGTCCCGCAGCTTTCCGCCAGATGGCAATTTCTGGGCCACAGGCACAGGGAGGGGGGTGCCAAACAACTTCAGCAGCCTTGTGGCACTGCAGAAACAGGAAGTGGAGCCTGGGGGGGCGAGAGGGACCAGCGGTTGCAGAGCCATGAAAGGGAGGAACTGGGCAAAGGAGAGCCCCGGGGGTCTGCGGAGAGCGCCTCTGAGTGTTCCCCGTGCGCCGGCCACAGACGCAGAGAATAAAGCCCCGGCAGCCCCGGTAAAGGAAGGACAGAGAAGTGCAAGCAGGGCCGCTTCCAGAGCTCTCCCAGGGCAGGGCAATGGGCTCCAGCCGAGCAGGGCGGTGAGCCCTCAGGGTCACCTTCACTCAGTGGAGGCCCAGAGAAATCCGACCCTAGTAATAGGGCCAGTTGTCTCTGGAGCAACGGCCCTTCCAGACTCACCCCAGAAAAGCTTGAAAATGGCCTTTGCAATGACCGAATAAAGGAGCCTGACCGCCACTAAGTCGAGACCCCGCACTCTAAAAGAGAAACAACAGGAAAATTTCAACAGAACATTTGCAGTGTCTGACATCCTGTCAAAAATTACAAGACATGGAGAAGAAAAATATAATCCTCAGAGAGAAAACCAATGAGGGACACAGACATCGAAAGAGCTATTATGACTGCAGTCAAGCATCTAGAAAATCATGTATATGATGAGAATTGAAAATATAAAAAAGAACCAAACAGAACTTCTAGAGGTAAAAAAAATACAGGATTTGATAAGGGAAAGTCATTGGATGGGATTGACAACAGAACAGAGATGGTAGAAGAAAGAACAGAAAACACAAAGACACAGCAGCAGAATCCGTCCTAAGTGACGCACGGAGAGAGAAGTGAGGAGAGAAGCAGCCTCCGACCTAGAAGGCAGGGCCTGTTAGTCCAACAGAAAGAGGAGAGAAATAGGAAAGCAGAAAAAGTATTTGAAGAAACAACGGCCAGGGTTTTTTTTTTCTAAATTTAAGGAAAGCTCTTACCTCACAGATTCAAGCTGAACCTCTCTGAGCAGCAAGACGGATACACATGCACACCTGCAATCCAGGAAACACAGTTGAATTTCTGGAAATCAGTGATAAAGAGAAAATCTTAAAAGCATTCAAGGAGAAAATAAAGGACACACCACACAGAGATGAGCAAATATGCAGTTGTGGCAGACTTCAGAGACCGTGCAAGCCGGAAGACACAGGGTCGTCGTCATCTTTAACATGTGAAAGGGAAACAATTCTCTCAAAATACCATCCTGTATCTGCCAGAAATATCCTTCAATAATTAAGGCAAAATAAAACTCACAGACGAATTAGTCTGATAGAGCTCATCACCAGCAGACCTGCACCGTGAGAAATACCAACCGACGCTCCTCAGGCTGAAGGGAGATGATGCCAGACGGAAATGTGGGTCTGCAGAGGGCGATGCAGGGAGGCGGGAGGCGGGCGCGGCGCCAGCGGGGACAGGGGACAGGCTCACGGTCTCCTTCACAAGATCGCCGGCCGTTGAAAGCACACATAGTGATAGTGTATCGCGGGGTTTGTGATCCTCGCAGAAGTACAATGTGTGATGAAAAGTATATAAATAGTGGAAAGGGAAAAGGAAGTAATACTCTCGTGAATCCTAAGTTAAAAATGCATGTTGTAAGCCATAGAGTAACCACCAAAAAAAGGTTTGATAGTGCAATGACAGAGATAAAAACGGAATAAAAAAATCAATCCAAAAGTAAACAGGAAAGGAGGAAAAGGGGAACAAAGGTAGATGGACAAGTGGTGAACAACTTAGTAAAAAGATGTATTTAAAACCAACCATGTCAATCATGACACTAAAAGCAGTTGTCTAAATATTCCATTAAAGTGTTGACAGGGAGAAAAAGGCAGGCCTCAACTATCTGCTGTCTACAAAAATCCATTTTAAATATAAAGACAAATTAAGAAAATGGAGGCCTAGAGGGAAGTAGACTTCCCAACAAGGATACTGCCTCAGATAAAGAGGGACAATTTCATAATGATAAGAAGTCAGTTAGTCAGGAAGACATGACAGTCCTGCACGTGGTGCTCCTAATAAGAAAGCTCTAAAGCACATGTAGTTCAAACTCACAGAAATGAAAGGAGATACAGACAAACCCATAATTACAGTTGGAGACTTAAGTATTTCTCTATCAGTAATTGACAGGACAAATAGACAGAAAATCAGTGAGAATATAAAAGATTTGTGCACCACTATGAGCAACTTGACTTAACTGACATGTCTAGGCCTCTACATACGACAACAGCAGAATACACATTTTTTTCAGGTGCACGTGAAACATTTAGGCCGTACGTTGGGCTGTAAAACCAGTCTCGATGAATTTTAAAGGATTGAAACCATCCAGAGTGTTTCTTGACCACAAAGGAATTTCACTGGAAATCAATAATAGATATCTAGAAAATTATCCAAAAATTTTGAAAACAAACAGAACACTTCTACATAACCTATAGGTCAAAGAAAAAAATCACAAATAGTGCTTAAAAACTTATACCTTTAAATGTTTATATTAGGGAAGAACATTGTTCTAAAATCAGTAATCTACACTTTTTCCTTAAGAAGCTAGAAAAAGAAGAAATTCAAAGTTTATAGAAGGAAAAAAATAAGATAAAAATGGGAAACAATGAAATAGAAAAGAGAAAAATCATACAGGAAAACAATGAAACCAAAATCCAATTATTTGAAAAATATCAACAAAACTGACAAACATCTAGCTATGTTGATCCAGATAAAACGAGAGACAATACAAATTATGAATATCTTGAATGAAAAGGGAGACATTGGTACATGTCCTATAAATATTAAGAAGAAGATAATGGAACAATAAGAACAATTACATGCCAAAACAACAATTCTGCCAATTGACAGCAATAAAACCGAGAAATTCTCTGAAAGACCCAAGTTACCAAAATCAATTCAGGGAGAAACAAATGTGAACAGGCCTATATCTAGTGAAGCGACTGAATGTGCACCACGACCTTCCCACAAAGAAAACTCCAGGCCAGATGGCTTCATTGGTGGCGTCTATAAAACATTCAAGAGAGAATACTGTTCCCATTCAAATTCATTTAAAAAAAAATGACAGAACTTTCCAGCTCATTTTATGAGGCCAGCACTACCCTGACGCCAACCAACCAAAGACCTTACAGGAAGAGAAAACTGTGGTTGATATCCTAATGAACACAGGCCCAGAAAATCCTTAATAAAATATTGGAATATCAAATACAATGATATATGAAGACGTAGAACATCCCAACCTCGTTAGGTTGGTATCACATTAAAAAACAAATCAGTATGTGATATTAACAGATTAAATAAGGAAAATCACATGATTGTCTTAATAAATAAAAAATTATTTAACAAAATTGAATATCTATTCATGATTTAAAAAATAAAATAAAAAGATAAAGAACCTTAGCAAAATAGGAATAGAAGGGAACTTCTTCAGCCTGACAAAGGGCACCTATGAAGAACCTGCAGCTGCTATCTTACTTAATGGTGACGGCTGACGCCCGCTCCACCACTTCCAGTCCACGCTGTGCTGGCAGGCCTAGCCATGTAATAAAGCAAGAAAAATGGGGTGGGATGGACATGCAGATGCAAAAGAAAAGTAAAACTGTCTTTATTCACATAACATGTGATCTAATGCATAAAAAGTCCTAAAACACACACACAAAAAAACTAATAGAACTAAAAGGTGACTAGCAAAGTCCAGGACACAAGATCAATACACCACACCAATTATATTTTTATATATAACAATGAAAATTGGAAGTTGCAATAAAAAATACCATTTACAATAGCACCCCAAACCATGAAATACTTAGATGTATACTAAGCAAAATATCTGTGCACTGAAAAAAATCACTGCAGAGAAAACTAAGACATAAATAACAGAGAGATACACTATGTTCATGGGTTGGATGGCTCAAGGTGTCATTTCTTCCTAAATTTATCTATAGATTTAACAAAATCTCAGTCAAAATCGCAGCAGGCTTTTAAGATTGATGTTGAAAATTAAAATTTACGTGGAAATGCTCAAGGTATAAAACATCCAAAGCAATCTTGAAAAAGAGCAAAGTTGAAGAACTTACACCATCCGATAGTGAGACTTACTGTGAAGCTACAGTGATCCTGGCTGTGCTGCTGGCATAAGGATGAACACACACAACAGGGACCAGAAAAGACACACACACCACGCACACACATCAATTTTTCAATTAATGCAAAGATTCTAAGGTAATTTATGGGGAAAGGAAAGGATAGTTCATTCAATAAATTGTCATGTAACAAGTAGATACACATACACATGTAGATGCGCATATACTCAACTGTTATATCAAATACAAAAATTAATTCAAAATGCATCATAAGCCTAAACATAAAACTATAAAGCTTCTTGAAGAAAGCACAGAAGAGAATCCCTGTGACTCTGGGGTAGGCAAAGACTCCTTAAGACAGCAAAGTCCAAACCATAAGTGAAAAAAAAATGATAAATTGGATTTCATGAAAATTTTTGAAGTTCTGCTTTTCCGATGACACCATTAAGATGAAACGTCAGTCACAGGCTGGAAGAAAATATTTGCAATACATATCAAAGACTTGTATCTGGAATATATAAAGAATTCTAAAAATCAGTACTAAGAAACAAGCACAATAAAAGCCAAAATACTTGAAAAGACACTTTACAAAAGATAACTTGATGGCCAATAAACCCATGAAAGATGCACAACATTATTTAGCATCAGGGAATTGCAAACTTAAGCCACTGTATATTCACACAATGATCAAAAAAAAAATTTTTGACCTGACGATATGAACTGGTAGCAAGGATTGGAGCAACAAGAACCCTCACACACGGCTCGTGGGCCTGGGTAGGGCAACTACATCGGTAAATACTGTGGTAGTTTCCTAAAAAGTCAAACACATGCTTACCATACAACCCAGCTGTTCAATTCCAAAGTGATTGCACAAGAGAAATGCACACATCTGCGCACCAAAGACCTAACGTGTGTGTTCATGGTGGCTTCATTCCTGACATCCCCAAGCTGGGAACGACACAGATGTCTTGTCAACAGATAAATGGAAAAGCAAAGGACCAATGCAGGCCTGTGACGGAATGCCACCGTGCGAGCACAAGAGCCGCCGATGCACGCGACACAGGTAGACCTCAAAGCCGTTTCTTTGGAAGAATCAGACATCAGAAAGTACCTAGTGTGCTTTATTCATGTGAAACTCCGGAAGTGACCCGTCTAATCAGTAGTAATGGAAAATAGATCAGTGCTTGCTTGGGGCTGGGGGTAGGTGTTTTGGGGTGATGGAAATGTTCTATATACATGGATATATACATTTTCTAAAACCCATTGAAATGTACACTTAAAAAGAGGTGCATTTTTTTGTATGTAACTCATACCTAAATAGAAATGATTTTCTTTTAAAGGATCACCTGTGGTCAGCATTGCCCAAACACTGCCGCCAAGGGAAAGCTCCTGGTGAATGTCACATTGTTCCCTAGACAGTCTCCCTCCTGCCCTGGGGTCCCCCTTCTAGGCTCTCTGCTTCCAGCAGAGGAGGTCTAAGTCTGTCACAAGCAGAATCGGGAGGAGCCAAAGTGGGCCTTTCCTGGCTGCTGCGCACCCTCCAAGCGTCCTTGTAAGTCTGACATTCGCCCCTGGGGCTCTTGAGAGCCTCTGGGGGAGGTCATTACTGCAGAGATGCCCTCCCCGCAGCAGGGCCTCTGGGTGGGGGCTCCTGCCCTCACCCCGGCCAGCACTACACTCAAGGCTTTGTTTGAAGAGCTAGTTCCTGAATTCAAAAAAAATTTTTTAAGAGTATTGAACAAACCCACTTCCATTTTCTTTACTTTTTTTAAATTGAAATATATTTGGCATGCAATACCCTATTAGTTTCAGGTATAACAGCTCCATTTTCTTGATTTATAAAGGGTTATTTAGTCTCTGGAGAATGCTGCATATTTCACATTCACTGTGTAAAGAAATACTGGCCTCAACTCTCCTTCGCTAAGGGAAGGACTCCGGGTGGCTGGTAGCAGAAGCCGCAGTGGGAACTAGTGGCCCCGTGTGACGAAGGGCCATTTACAGACAGGTGGCAGGCCTTTTTTTATTAACGTGGTGAAATACGGTGGTAGAGTTCCTGACATTGAACCAGTCTGGCTCATAACTGGGATAAACTTCACCTGATAATCATGTATTTTTAAGACTTGTTTGTTCTGATTTGCTAATGTTTATACCGTTCCTGAAGCTGTAAGTTAAATAGGCCTGCAAGATTTTTTTTTTGTGTGCTGTCCTTACTCTGCACTGGGAATCACGTGTGCTGGGCAATTTTCACTCCTATTCTGCTTTTCTGGATAATCTGATTAAGATAGAAATGGACTGTTTCCTTCCTTGA